CGATTCCTCAGCACCACATAAGCAAAAAGAAAAAAGCTGGAAGTGGCGCTGTGGCTCAAGTGGTAGAGCTCTAGCCTTGAGCTGAAGAGCTAAGGGACAACAGAACCCAGGCCCAGAGTTCAGGCCCAGAGTTCAGGCCCCACAACCGGACCCCCCCCAAAAAAAAAGCTAGCCAAGGCAGACAAACTTACTTGAGAGACTGTGTGGGGGGGCGGGGAGAGGGGTTATAGGGCTTAAACTCTGGGCCTGGGTGCTGTCCCTCAGTTCTTCAGCTCAAGGCTAGCACTCCACCACTTGAGCCACAGCGCCACTTCTGGTTTTCTGACTGGTTTATTGGAAATAGAGTCTTATGGACTTTCCTGCCTGGACTGACTTTGAAACATGATGCTCTGATCTCAGCCTTCTGAGTAGCTAGGATTACAGGCATGAGCCATGGATGCCCAGTTTGAGAGATTCTTATTGCCAATGAGACAGCAAAAAGCTGGAAGTAAAGCTGTGGCTTAAGTGGTAAAAGGCCAGCCTTGAGAAAAAAAAAAGCCAAGCTGAATGCTCAAGGCCCTGAGTTCAAGCCCCGCACTCTGACAAAAAAAAAAAGCCTTAGTAATCAATTACAGAATATTCTCTTGCAACAGCAACAAAAACTCCCAGCAGAAAGGTAAAAGTCATAAAAAAAATTAAGTGAAATTATGGAACTGAAAACACTTGAAATAAATGAAAAGGGATGTGGGCAGACTTAGTAGTAGAGAGGACAGATTTGAAGACAGGTGAATAGAATGTACTCAATCTGCACCACAGAGAGAACTAAGACCGAGACCCTCTGGAAAACCAGAGCCTCAGGGCTCTCTTTGCACCAGTGGAGTCCCAGAAGTGGAGGAGGGAGAGAAAGAGGGAGAGAGAGAGGGAGAGAGAGAGAGACAGAGAGAGAGAGAGAGACAGAGAGAGAGACAGAGAGAGAGACAGAGAGAGAGAGAGAGACAGAGAGAAAGGAGTTAAATAATGCTTGAAAATTTCCCAACATTGGAAATATTGGGAGACATGTATTTACAGATCCAAAATGAGTTAGCCCCAAACAAGGAAAACCTAAAAAAGTTTATTCTAAGACACATCATAATTAAATTTCTGAATGCTAAACACAAAGAAAGAGTTTAATATTTTTCTTTTTCTTTTTTAGTTGTTTGAAGACATGCAATTCAATGGAGAAAGATGGCTTTTTCAGTAAATGATAGAGCCATTGGACATCAGTAGGCAAAACTAAGCAAAAACATAACCAAAACCTCATATTTCATTCAAAAATGAACCCCAAATGGATTGTGGCCTTATGCGTAAAATATGAAACAATGAAACTCTTAGAAAATACAAAAATAGGAAGAAATCTTTATTAGGTCTAAGGAAAGAACTTCAAGCACAATCTCCATGAGAGTGAAAATTGATAAAATGGACCACAGTAAATTCAGAATTAGGAGCTTTTGCAGAGCAAAAGAGACTGAAAAAAATTAAATGATAGGTCCGGGCACAGTGGCATACACCTGAATTCCAGTTATATTGGAGGCAGAAGTTGGAACATCTTGGTTGGAGATGAGTTCTAGGTAAAAGCATGAGACCTTATTTGAAAAATAATGAAAGCAAAAAGGACTGTGAACATGATTCAGGTAGTAGAGTGCTTACCTAGCAAGAATGAGGCTCTGAGTTTCAAACCCCAGTACGGCCAAAACAACAAACAAACAGAATAAAACAAAACAAAAAATATCAAATTACAGTGTAGAAAAGATCTGTAAATCATTTATGTGATTTACATAAATCATTTATGTGATTTTGTGTCTGGAATGTAGGAAAAATTTTCAAAATTCAATAATAAAAGACAAAGAGTCTAAAGTTATAAAGTGAGCAGTATACACGAACAGGATATTGAATAGAATGGACAGATGGTAAATATACAAGGAAGCACTGAACCTCACTTGCCATTGGAGAAATGCAAATCTAAACTACAAGAAGATATTTCTGCCATCAGACAGGGTGAAATAAAAGAAAGCGATGACATGAAATGCAAACCAGAGCTGAGAAACAGAAGCATGTGTACAATGCTGGAGGAAATGTAAAATGATATAGCATTCTAGAAAAGAGTCTGGCAAGTTCTTTTAAGACTAAAAATGGATTTATCATTGTATTCTTGGATATATATATATCCCCCCAAATAAAAACTTATTTTCATGTAGAAATTTATACACCAATGTTCAAAGATTTATTCATAATAATGCTCAAATGAGAATTATCCAAATAACCTTCAATAGCTGAAGAGTCAAGTGAACTGTGGTTCATAGTATATCATAGTATACCATGGAATGCAGCAATGAAAAGGAAGAAATATTGATGCCACCTGAAGGGACCTTAATGATAAAAACCCATCTCAAAAGAATACTTACTGCATAATTCCACTTCTAAAGCACTTGTGACCTAACATAACTATGCCAATGGAAAAGAGAATAGTGTTTTCCACGGAGGTGGGCGTGAGTGAGAGTAGAGTGCTTATGAAAAGTGGCATGAGGAGACTGCGCAGTTGTCTCTTTGTTTTGATGGTGGCTGTGTAAAAGTTATATCCAAGATGAAATTGCACAGTGCTGCACAGATGCATGGATGAAGCATTTATGACTGGTGAAATCTGAATAAGCTCCTATGATTTAGATCAATGTTAACTTCCTGCTTTTCGCACCGTACAGTTTTCTTTTCTTTCTTTCTTTCTTTCTTTCTTTCTTTCTTTCTTTCTTTCTTTCTTTCTTTCTTTCTTTCTTTCTTTCTTTCTTTCTTTCTTTCTT